CTGAAGCGCCAATATCTCTCACACAAAAGAGGTCCTCTGGCTTCAATGCTCTGAAGTGAACAGTTTTCGAAAATGGATGTCTGGAGAAAAATCTCGTGGAATAAAAAAAAATCTCTTTCTTTATAAGGAATCTAGAGTTTCCCGTTGTGACACTGGAGAGCCGCAAAACATATTTCGTGATGTATGTTAACGTCTCAGGGAGTCCTCAGTGTGACGTGCCTTCTATTACGTTATAATCACGTCATAATCACGACGTTGAGCTAATACTATTTCCAAAACTGTTGGAAATATGTTCAATGAACGACCTATTACTTGTAAACAAAGTTGACCATTTAATTTTCATCAGTTGCTTTGCTCGGCTTCTCATTTGATTCGTTTCCAATACATTTTTGTTGGAAACTGTGAATACCAACTCTAACATTGAATTTCTTATAGAATTCGACATGGCAAATTGTGTTGTTGAATGAACCATAAAGAAACTTTGTCTTTGATCGTAAGAATGATTTCGCAGAATTTTTGAAGGACATTCGCCGGCCTCATGTAGACACGATTCATATCCTACATTAAATTAGGAACTTGATGGTCTCTCCGTCAGATTATTATGACAATTATTATATTAGCAAGACTTGTGAAAGTTTGGAATTTACGTAAGAAGAAACATATCACATCTGAGATGAAACGTAAATCAGTCTATAGTTAGTCAGCAAGTATAGTTACTTGAAACTTATGAAACGATATTCGTTTTTATTGAACGCACTTTCTGAACTTGCAGTCGATTATAATAAATATTGATGTATACAGGGTGTCCCTAGACCAGTGGGACAGTTGAATATCTCCTGAACCAATAGGAATTTTCAAAACATTATAATTTCACATCATATCGCATTCGCATTATGAGGGCTAACTTCAGGAATGACTATATTTTATACGAGTGGCGCAAGAAAGGCTCACAAAATCGAACATCATTTTTTTCAAATGGAACACCCTGTATTTCATTGCATTTTAATATTCTCCTTGAAGAGCTGAATTCAACGACCTAGCACACTTGGGGTCTAGCGGGAATGATTTCCGAGATATAGGGTGTGTGAAACTGAGAATTCTACACCACCCTGTATTTGTTTCAATTACATACGAGTAAATAGTAAATCAAAATTTAAGATATAGACATGTTAGCCGTTTTGACCAATAATGAATAGTTTTGACACAAAAAATTCCCAAAAATGAAAAATCTCGATTTTCCACACCCTATATCTCAAAAATCATTCCCGCTAGACCCCAAGTAAGCTAGGTCGTTGAATTCAGCTCTTCGAGGAGAATATGGAAATGCAATGAAATACAGGGTGTTCTATTTGAAAAATATGATGTTCGATTTTGTGAGCCTTTCTTGCGCCCCTTGTATAAAATATAGTCATTCCTGAAGTTAGCCCTCATAATGCGATATGATGTGAAATTATAATATTTTGAAAATTCCTATTGGTTCAGGAGATATTCAACTGTCCCACTGGTCTAGGGACACCCTGTATACTGTCGTATCCTCAGATATTAAAATCAACCAGTATCCTAGACTATTCGATATATGTCAATAATATATGAAATACGATAGTTAGTTTTTTTATGTTCTGGTTCCCACGAAAGAGGATATCCTGTAATGTTTAGAGAACATCGTGAGAACCAAGGGAGATAAGGTAGGAATTGGTGTTCTTCTTGAATTTCTGGAGGTTATATGACTCGGGGGATACCTCCCTTGGCAATGTGTTCCAGAGCCTTGCTGTTCGTTGGATGAACGAGTCTTTGGAAAGAGATGTTCTGCAGGTCTCCATATTGACCACGAAAGGGTGCGAAGCCCCAACTCGACGGGTTAATCTCGCGGGGACTACCATGGGAGGAACAATTGTTGATATTTCAGAAGAGCATCGTCCATGAAAATATCTATGAAATAGAGCTAGACCGCCAACTTTTCTACGGTGTTCCAGAGAAGTGAGTGAGTTTGTGAGCAAGGCATCACCCACGAGATGAATTGCCCTTTTTTAAACAGAATCCAACAGTTTCAGGGTATGTTTGGGTGCTGCACTCCAAATATGGGAACAGTATTCCAGGACAGATCGGATCTGTGCCTTATAGATCATAAACAACTGACTGGAAGTAAAATAGCTCCTGGCCCGAAACAGAAAACCAAGTTTTTGGGATGCACTTCAAGCAATTGATCTCACGTGAATTTCCCAAGAAAGGTTATTGCTGATAGTAATATCAAGCATCGAAATGGATGTCTTCAAAGGTATAATTACTCCTGACGAGCTTATGTTGGGCACAGTGAGATCGGCATTTCTAGAGAAAAGGCATGCCTGTGTTTTGTTTGCATTGAAATCTATCAAGTTATTGAATCCCCATTCGAGAATTGATGCCAAGTCCATATTTATGTTGTAAAAATTTCTCCCTCGTTCGTTTCTGATTCGCCTGGCTGGTATTGGAGCCTTGGAAGAGAAGGCGGTATGTGGGGTACTATCATCCGCGAAGCTGTGTACTGGACATGAAGTTGCTTCCAACAAATCGTTGATATGGAGTAGAAATAGTGTTGGTGCTAGAATTGATCCTTGCGGAACACCAGCATTTATGATAAGAGAGTCAGATGAAACTCCGTCGACCGCTACATGGAGAGACCTGTTTGAGAGAAAACTAGCTAGCAGCCTTGATTATATTACTCAATGCTAGCAGAGAACATAGCTGGGGAGGCAAGCCATAAGATGGAAGCTTGGCGATAAGTCCGTGGTGCCAGACTCGATCGAATGCCTTGGAGATATCAAGTGCTACGGCTAAGGTTTCACCATACTTTCTTCTTCTTCTTCTTCTTCTTCTTCTTCTTCTTCTTCGAAGCACTGGTAGGCGGGTGAACCCCCTGCACGTGGGCCTCCTTATTCGGGCCCATTGTGCGCCCACATGTTACGACATTCAGCTGAGTATGCCACAATCTGCAAAGGGGGTCATTCTTGATCCCAATAAGCTCTAGGTGCCTATTGAGGTGGTTGTGCCCCGTTAGGAGCCCCACTACCATTTTAAGGTTTCGCCTGTTTAGGAATAAAACCTCTTTTGCGAGCCTCTTCGAAGGTTCCTTTATGTGGAGCTTCGATTGTCTCATTCCTGGTGTGTCCTGCCATATTTTGAGGAATTGCTTTTGCAGCTGTTTCTCTATAGAGGACATTGCCAGGCTATTTGGTATTCCCAAGATTGGTTCCGGTCCGATCGAGGTCCGTCCTGAACCGATCTTTGCCAGTCTGTCTGCCTCCTCGTTTCCGGGTATTCCCGAATACCGTACTTTTCAATAGATTGCTGCCATATATGTGAGACGTGAGCGAGCAGGTCACCAGTAGATCTCTGATGACGGAAGCCATATTGCCTATTGTTGAAAATAACTGAAGATTTTCCGAAAATGACATGATATTGATTCCTGAGTCAATTTTTTTGAGTGAGTTCGTATCTTTCACGAAACTTCACAGGTGGCAATTTGTTGCCATTTTTGCTAGACATTTCTCAGCTATAATTGAGAAATATCAACAGAAAGAAATCATTTTCAAAGAGCTTTCGGTTCTGATTGATAAAACCAGAAAATTACGAATGTCGCTACTGTTACGAAACCGCCAAGTGACGGTCTCTTCAAGAATACAGGGAGGTTCTTTAAATAGTTTTTTAATGAAAACCCAACTATACCTTTCTCTCCAATCTTTAATTAGACGTCACTGAAAGTACGCGAGTATCACTACAATAGCCGGCCCTGACAATAAAGGTGATATCATAGCAAAACTAACCAAATAATATAGTTATGATTATGATCCATACAATTTTATACCCTGGAATGATACCAAAACGAAACCTCACCTAAAAGTACAGGTATAACTAAGGTTGAATGCACTACATTGCAACACAATAGTAAAATGCTCCAAAAATATTTTTTCAGCTTTTTCTTTGAGAAAGTGGCATTTTCGCGGCCTAGTCCGGGGAGTACGTACTTCCCGGACTAGGCCGGGAAGTATCACATCGTTGTTGTCACTGTAACTATGGAAATCTTGGTAGATATGGTTTTGATAAATGCAGATAATAATTACCATAGCAGCGAAATATCGGTTGACAGCTATTTGACATGAAATTAGTTGACATTTTGATTTTTGAAAGTTTGGTTGCAATTATCGCCATAAACTATCGAAAGTAGCTGCGATAGTGAGTTTGAAAATGTCCATTCGAAATATTCAATGTATCAGTTAGTGTACGTATAGATATTCTGTTCAAATTTCACTATTTGATACAAATTAGATTGAATGAAGAAGAAATTGTATTCTACAAAGAAATTTAATATGGAAATGTGTCTGATTGATTTCTACATGGTTGCCGAAAAAATAAAGTACGCAGTTTTTTTGGACTCGCAGACTTCCAGGACTCGTCTACGGCTCGGCCTAGAATTTTGTCTACTCAAAAACACAGTATTTTCCGGACTAGTTACATAAATTACTATATTCAGTTGACGTTAACTAAGATATACGAAAAATTAATCTCTGGCATGAATATTCTATACTACTTCTAGAGTTTTTGCGGATTCGAAATAAAAACATCCATGGCCAAGCAGAGACATCCTGCGCATTTATCCACAACATAGATACCATCAGGGTTTCCTTACACTACGTCACCACAAAAATTCCGCTACGCCCCGCCACGGTCGTGACACAGCACACCTATACTGGACTCACAATTTGGATACCAATTGGCATTTGATTTTTTCAATAATTCAACATAATCATGGATAGGTTTCATTGCCCAATAAAGATATGCCAACGAACCAAATTTGAGTACAGAAAACGATATGAAAATTGTGAGTTCAGAGCCGTCTAGCGTCCAACCTAAGCAAACTTTGTACTGAGGTAAGTTTGCTTGTGTCGAATCGTATTGATCTGAGAAATAGGTTGCGAGTTTTCATAAAGATCTTTCACAGTCGGTGATAATATATTCTGACTCACCGGTATTTGAACAAAAGTCCCGTTCTGCAACACTGGATGCGAATAAAGCGGCACCACCGGCACAGAACCGTTCCTAAGAAAAATAGGTCCCTGTATTGGCGTCACCGACAGTCGGCCATGCTCAACTGCCTCCTCCTCCTCATCATAATCGTAGTCTATCACCGCGTGCACTCTGGTCTTCGTTCCCTCGTCTGTCACTCTCGCGAAGGTCGGCAGGTGGCCTTGAACCGGCCGACCTCCGGCGTAACCGTCACCTTGCGGCTGACCCTGACCTTGACGGCGCGGCTGACCTTGTACTGAGCCGCGCGGCTGAGCTTGACTTGGGCCGCGCGACTGTGGAAGTTGTTGCGAAGGCCGCTGCTGGAGGTAGGGGGAGTTGTCTTCGAACAAGAATGGTTTTTGCGGTGGAGGGTAGGAGTAGCCGCCTTGGGGAGGAGAATAGGGAGGGTACGGCTGCTGGGGTTGGTAGTAGTGGGGCAGGGGTGGATTGGGGGTGGCCAGGTAGGGCGTGCTGTAGTTGAGCAAGGCCATCTTCCTGGTGTTATTGGTGCCGGGGGTCCGATATGGTCATCTTTGAGCGGTATTGAAGTGAGCTGGAAAAAAATGTTTGTGAACGAGTGTTGTACCATTCTTTCTAGAAAATTCAAGGACAGCATATTATGTACGCAGTGTGTCCGGCTTTTCAAGGATACAACATAATATCTCAGTTATTGATGATGCGATTTTCTCGATATTTTGGTGGTGATTTTATGTAAAAACAATGAAGTATTCAACAAAGTGAACAGTTTTATTCACCATTGGCATGTGATATTGAGGAGGAAACTTCTTTATCAGATTCAGAATCAGCTTCTCCAATCCTTATTTAAAAAATCCCAAGAAAAATTCAAAGTCCTGATGCTTTTCATGACTACGTCCTAAAATCTCAGTTATTAATGATTTTCTCGAAATTGTGATGGTGATTGTATGTTATTTTTCTTATATACAATAGTCATCAAAATTTCAAGGATATCGCATCATCAATAACTTGCCATGAAAAGCGGGATTTTGAATTTTTTTCAGCTCTTGGGATCTTGAGAATATGAATTGGGGATGCTTAATCAGAATCTGATAGAAACAATTATCTAAAATATGCCCTTATATCCTTTTCCCAAATGAAGGACCTTTTTTGTACCCCTCAACATAGCACGCCAATGGTAAATGAAACTGTTCACTCTGCTGAATAATTCATTGTTCTAATACAATCACTACCAGAATTTCAAGAAAATCGCATTATCATTAACTGAGATATCAGGGTGTATTCATGAAAAGCGAGACTCTTGGAGCGCACGAAGGGAATTTCCTATAATAGAAAGGCTAGGAAGTAGAGGTATATTTTTTCTGAACTCTTGGAGGTCCTTTGGAATACTTCCGCTGAGAAAGAACTCCGAATCTGGCCATATCCGTGCTTGGTAGATCACGAGAAGCTGTTGAGGTGTAATTAGTATGTTGTTTAACGAGCACGGAATATGATTGTCATGTCCCACGAGGAAAGAATAAGAGTGGGACATTCACAAGGATATACACTATACTTTTTCTACGGCTGTAACAGATAACAGCGAATTTTTTAAATTGTTCTGAATGTTCTGCTTGTTGCCATCTGATTTTCTCCTAAGTGATAATGCTCATCTATGACATACAAAGTATGTCATTGATTCATCGAATATAGTGAATCAAGAGCAATTTTGTGTTATAGCCGTAGAAGAAATACAATTTCGCACTAAATAAAATTTTGAGTTTTTGTGAAGCAAATTTCTCGATGGATCGTAAATGATTGGTATATAGCTAAATCGGAATTGTTTATTATATATATCGCTTTCATATGCAGGATATATTCATGACTAATTAAGACAAATATATTTAAACATCTGACGGTCAATTCAATTTATCGTACATCCATAAACAAATGCACCCAGATGACAGGAGTTGAATGCCAACAAAATATAATTCTCAGATGTCAGTTCGTTATAGTTTTAGTTATAATTTAGAGAGATGAAAATTGTGTATTTCATGAAGAATGGCTGGAAGAATAACTGGACTTCAGGTTACTGATGAGGATTTGATACCCGAAATGAGTAAATTCGAATAGAGTCATATAACCTATTTGTGAGAGATAATATTTCCATATCATCGATACGAATGATTTTCCTAAGTTTCAAGCTCATCAAGATCATCAAGAGTTTATACCAGTACACTTATTCTATATACATTTCAATCCTCATATCAATACTGAATGTTTTGGTAAGTTATATTTCTTTATATCAATAGATCATATAATTACCATTTATCTGATTTGGAAGAGAATGTGAATTTTGAATATCAGAGGATTTTTATTTTCAAGTTCTTCTTTTGGATGTTGAACATAACAGAATTCAATGTTCAATGTAGCAAATAGCCAGGAAATGAGTTGTTTTTTTGTTGGATATTCAGAAAGATATTATATGCCTTCATAGTTTCATCTGAAAGAGAATGCGAATTCTCAATTTCAGAAGATTTTATTTTTATATTCAAATCGTGTGTGTTCAATAAATATAATTCAATGTGCGTCGTGGTATATTGCCAGAAAATTAGTTGTTTTCTGTTGAATATTTCGAAAAATAATCAATACTTCCATCACATAGAGAATGCGGATTCTCAATGTATCTCTTTTTATACAAGATGTTTTGGAAATAAGTGCACATATTCAGCACATGATACAGTCTAAGGAATATATCCATATCAGATTTTTTCTAATTCTTCTATTTATCGAGAAATCTCATCCCTTTCTCATGCTCTTGATAAATTTGACAATATTCCTTTTTAATACCCAGTAGTAAGTTTTTCCAAATTTGAATTCTACAAGATATTCTAACGATGACACTTGCATTAACCGGCAGACCCAGAACTTCTGGATTCTTTGGAATGGGTGGATGAGTTATTTGACATAGAATGACATTATAAAAATTATCAACATGGTGTCATTATGAGAGAAAAAAATGAACAAACATTTTTGGGAATAATGAAGGTCGTAAGTATCGTATCAAATAATTATAATGCAAACTTAACTTGGAACACCTGTATAAATACATGGAACTATTTTCCATCAATTTCTAGCAAATAGAAGCAGGAATGTTAAAATGAACATTAAAAAGCTCCTATTTTGACACAAGCGATTTGAATAACGTCTAGTGTCGAAATTCATTTCATGAGAAATATACTACAACGCTTAATTGGACATAATGGTTTCATTATACAGAACCATAAAATGGATTAATACTTTATCATAGATGTAATATTTCTTCTATATGACTGAGTACTACTCTCTAAGTTGCTATTTTGCTTGTTTAGGCATTGACAAGAATTCATATTTATCGTACTTCCGTGGAAGAGGTAGCAACTTGCAAGCGCAAATTTGATCGATGGTCTAACTATCTACAGGGTGATCAACGATTAACGACTAATAATGTGAAAATTCATAGTTCTCGATGATAAAGAACTATATCATATATCATAATACATCATATTTGAGAGATCTTCAATTCTTAATTCCAGAGGATTTTTATTTTTCATGCTCTCCTTTTGGATGTTCAACAGATATAATGCAATGGTAAATTAACATTGTTTCTTCAATATACCCTCGAATATACCGCGTGGAAAAAATAAATGTACATGGTCGAGGCTATTCACAATGAGTTGCACATGATAAAGAAACATTTTTTTCTGAAAAATTATCACATTTTGATCAAAAGTCCATTTTTTTTTCAAATGGAATTCTTATGGGCCACCTACATGCCTTTCTAGAACATACATTAAGGAAAAATATGACATATCATTTGTGTATTTCGGTGAGGTAACAAGATGAATACATTAAGAAATCAACACGTATAGTTCATGAATTCTCTTCCAGTTCCAATAATTTAATTTTTTTCGAAAAAATCACATTTGACCGTGAGATTGCACTTGTTTTGAGCTGTTGAACTTGAATATGTGAAAGTATCTAGAAGAAACAAAGTGTTTCAGAAAAATCCGTTAACGAATGCAGAAGTTACAGGGTTGACCCGATACCATGTGTAACACGCATAATTATACTGCAAAAACCAGAATTTCATTATAATAATTACATTATGGTGTGGAAACCAATGATGGAGTATAATCAGTTCATTAACAGAAATATATTCTGAAAATTCCTCGGACAAGTCGATTTATATATTTGAAAATCTGTTTTTTTCTTTTGTTAAAATTTTCAACCACCAATCAACCTCCTGTGGGTCAAATTACATCTTGTTATTGAGGTATTTCAAATATTTTCACTATATGGACTCTACTACAGACTACTACGCTACAGCCCCGGGGCCTCCACAAAAAAGGGGCCCCCACAATAGAGAAAAAAAAAATCTTTCGACTCTGGACGGGTAAACACGAGGGTGAACACTAGTGAACAACTGTTCTTTCAATAGTTTTTATGGAAAAGTTAAGTTCGTTGTTTCACCCTCAGTATACTTTGTAGAAACATTATCATATTATTCTTAAATATTGGAAAATAATTTGATTATATTCGTTTACTCCAATCTGAAAATATCAATTTGTCAAAATGGACCTGATAAGCAGTTGTTGCCATTTACTACCCATCTTGATAGAGTACCCCAATGGCTGAGTGGGGCAATACTTGACCTTAGCCTCAGAGAGTGGGTGTTCGTTTCCGAGTTTTCATTAAAGAGGACTATGGAAAAAACCTATCTACTGAGGAATTTTGATACGACATTCTTGGAGATGAAAGTTCAAGAATTACATTCCCGAACATTGAAATGGCACTGAGAATGTATTTGGTTTTGATCACATCGAATCGCACTTCCAAAAATGAAAATTATAAACGAATAGGCTTCGACCTTCGATGGGACAAAACCTTCTTTCAGATAATTCTTGTTTTTGACAATATTTCAACTGAGTGTTTCTTAACTACGCGTGTGAAAATACAGGAGCATGTTGCTGACGTCAAAATAAGAAGAAAAGTTCGTACAAACATATGTCCGCAAGTTATTCATTTCTGGGATACAAAGTGTCGAAGTTTTATTCTTTTTCCTGTTTTTTTCTTGTGAATAAATTCAGAAATGAACGTGATATTAGAATGAATTTCGGTATCTCACCTGAATATTACGATTATTCTGGGATTCTTTCACAAAAACCGAAATAACAATCAGAATTTGACAATTTGTATCTAAGAATGAATAACTTGCAGGCATATGTCTATATAAACTATTCTCCTTATTTAATTGTCAGCAACATGATCCTGAATCTTTTTCTCTCAATTTTTGAAAATCAAATCACAGAACTATAGCTGACAAATATTTGATTACTTCAAAAGAATGGTGAAGATATAATATAATATCTTCTGAATATTGATTCGAGCTTTTCCTGTCACAGAAAAAAATAGTGTATTATGCAGGGGCAAAATAATAGATGTTAACGCACGGTTTTTTATCTCCCTACGCTACTCGTCGGGAGACAACACATCCTGGAGCTCAAATCTACTACTTTTTTCCTTTGTATAATAATCTTTTTTTCACGAACATTTGCCTAATTCACAGTTGCAACTGTGGTAGGTAAATGAACTCAAACTAATGCACCTTGCCATACACGTAAACGGGTGTTCAGTGATTATGTTTTATACAGGATGGGACAGAGGTGACAAATTTGACATTTTGCTTTCACTTTTCACCGTTTGATTCCTTCATCTTGTTTCCTCAAAAATGGTATTTTTTATTTCTATCGATATCTTGTACCGTTCTAGAGAAAAACATACATCCCAACCTTTTCGAAGGTAATTTATTTTATAAGAAGTACTGACCTCGGTACTGACATTATTTTGCCTCACTCTATCATCGCTATCATTTACGACATGACCTTTTCGGACACCCTGTAGATGAGGAAAATATCCAAGTTTAGATGAAATTACAATAATTTTCCTTCATGTTCAGTTAATATTGCTGTTCCAACCGAAAAATTCAGCAATAGTATTGGTGCAGATAGCTATTCTCGGAAAATTATGATTCTTTGATGTTGGCAGTTTCATTTTTCCATCAATAACAAGAAAGACAAGAAAACAAGAAACGAAAATATCTCCGGGATAACTGAACTTCATACTGAAAAACAGTGGCATTCTGGATGTGTTATTAAAAATACCAAAGAAACAGAAAGTTTCAAGACATTTTGGATAAGGATTTTCGAGATATCGATGAAACAATTCGATAGCTCGAAGCACTCTGTACATCGCAATGCATTCAACAAACAGTGGCAATGGCAAGTGTCTCAATCATTATTATTCCGATCACCAATGAATCAGCCATCATCTTTTCTATTAACACGCCGTTGTGTAACAAATTATCGAACGAAATCTAGGTGACCATCATCTTCAACTTTCTTTTTCATCACACCTCACCTTAAAACAATGACAGTGTCACCGAAAATGCCTGGACACCAGTCAAAAAGAAATCGCGATTTTTACTTTTCCGAAAAAGACTGATTATGATGATTACAATAGCAGAAAAAAATCACGCACACGCGTTATGATTGGATGCGAAAATGTGACTGTTGTCTGCGGCACCATTTCCAGTCAGCATGTGGTGGGTACTTGTGGTTCTGGTACCCCACTCACTGCATGAACACCTACTCTTTTCCCTCACTTGCGCTTCTGTTATAGTTTCAGGAAATTATAGCATTCCTCACTCGGAGTATCGTGGCACCTATTTGTATTTATTCTATGGACTAGCGCCGGAATTGGACCAGTTAAGGGGCAGTTTTATAGGTTCAGTTTGAACTTTAGTTCAATCTGAAGTTTAAACTGAATCTTTCGGAACAGTTACAACTCGCTTTAACCATCACTTTGCGTTTGGACGTTTTATAGCTTTCGTTTCTCAGCAGTATATTTTTGTTTGGGGCGTTGGCATCTTGAACAATACGTCGCTATTAACAAAGCAACTTCCAGCATGGTCTTCTCTGAATTAGGAGTGCCTCAAGGGTCGATATTGGGACCCATATTGTTTGTTTTGTATATAAATGATTTGGAATATTCAATTCCTGGAACAGTTTTGAAAGAAAAATGTGAAAAAGTTTTTGAAAATATCAACAAATGGTTTTCTGCAAACAATTTGTTTTTGAACGCGAAAAAAACAGATTCAATGAGGTTCCATCATCGGCAACGGAGGTGTGATATCATAAGCTTTAGAGCTAATGATAATTCTGACACTGTAACAACAGAGTGTGAGAGCTTAAAATTTTTAGGTCTTCAAATCGATGAACATTTAAATTGTCAGAATCACTGTGATTTTCTGATCTACTTCATATCAGTTCAGGAATATAAGGCAGGTTTTAAATGAAGATCAGCTGCTGAAGCTGTACTATGCTCAGGTGGATTCCAGACAGAGATATGGAATGTGCTACTAGGGTTTTTCCTCTAGCTGCTCTGATGTCTTCATAGCACAAAAAAAACTTATACGAATCATCAGTGGCATAGGTCTCTTTGATTCATGCAGACCAGCTTTCAGAAATTTTAAAATTTTGACTGTCTCTAGTCTTTCAATTTTTGACTTGTGCTTATTTGTGTTCGAGAATAGAATCAAATTGTTTGTACTGAATAAATGTAAACATAATATTGATACAAGACGAAAAAACAATGTTTTTGTACCATTTGGAGAAACCAAATTAGTTTTCGAATCTCCTGACCAGATGGCTCCACGTATTTATAATTTGCTACCTAATTTTATCGAAAAATCCAAAACTGTTTCAATGTTCAAACGAACACTCAAGAATCATCTTGTTGATAAGTGTTATTATAGTTTTGAAGAATTTTTGTGTGTAAGAAGGTAGTTTTCGTCCCCTTTTTTTCAGGATTTCTTTAATTTCCGATCCCTTTTTCTCTTCCTATACAAATTTTGTAACTTTGACTTGAAGGAAAATGAAGAATATTATTATTATTGAATGAATGCGAGCTGTGATGTGTTTACTTCTTCTTGTTAATACTTTTTGAGGTTAGGTGTTTTATTTTTATGATATCTCTAGCGAAGAGACTGGTGACCTGCTCGCTTACGTCTCACATATATGGCAGCAATCTATTGAAAAATATGGTGATACCTTAGCCGTGGCACTTGATATCTCCAAGGCATTCGATCGAGTCTGGCACCACGGACTCCTCGCCAAGCTTCCATCTTATGGCTTGCCTCCCTAGCTATGCTCTCTGCTAGCTAGTTTTCTCTCAATCAGGTATCTCTATGTGGTGGTCGACGGAGTTTCATCTAACTCTCTTATCATAAATGCTGGTATTCTGCAAGGCTCAATTCTAGCACCAACACTATTTCTTCTCCATATCAACGATTTGTTGGAAGCAACTTCATGTCCAGTACACAGCTTCGCGAATGATATTACCCTCCATACTGCCTTCTCTTCCAGGGCTCCAATTCCAGCCAGGCAAATCAGAAATGAACGAGGGAGAAATGTTGACAACATAAATATGGACTTGGCAACAATTCTCGAATGGGGATCCAATAACTTGGTAGATTTCAATGCAAACAAAACACAAGCATGCCTTTTCTCTAGAAAAGCCAATCTCACTGTGCCCAACATAAGCTTGTCAGGAGTAACCATACCTTTGAAGACATCCATTTCGATGCTTGGCGGATTACTATCAGCAATAACCTTTCTTGGGAAAACACGTGAGATCAATTGCTTGAACTGCATCCCAAAAACTTGGTTTTTTGTTTTGGGCCAGGAGCTATTTCACTTCCAGTCAGCTGCTTATGATCTATAAGGAACAGAACCGACCTGTCCTGTAGTACTGTTCCCAAATTTGGAGTGCAGCACCCTAACATATCCTGAAACAGTTGGATTCTGTCCCAAAAAGGGCAATTCGTCCCTTCGGGTGATTCACTCACTTCTTTGGGACACCGTAGAAAAGTTGGCGATCAGGCTCTATTTTATAGATATTTTCATGGACGATGCTTTTCTGAAATATCAACAATTGTTCCTCCCTTGGCAGTCTCCGCGAGATTAACCCGTCGAGTTGAGGCTTCGCACCCCTTCGTGGTCACTTTAGAGTCCTGCAGAACATCTCTTTCCAAAGACTCGTTCATCCAACTAACAGCGTGGCTCTGGAACACATTCCCAAGGGAGGTGTTCCCCGAGGCATATAACCTCCAGAAATTTATAAAGAACACCAATTCCTACCTCATTTCTCTTGGTTCTCACGATGTTCTCTGAACATTACAGGATATCCCTTTTCGTGGGAACCAGAACATAAACAAAAAAATTATCACAAGTTCCAATTTTTTCAGTTGACCCATTCAAAGACAAGCACTGTATGTAACATTCCTATAGTGAGTCATCCTGTATAGCCATATAATATACAGTATATTTCTTTGGTACATTCATATAAATATTGATTAGGTTTACTACTATGCTATGGTCAACGAATTTTAATACAATTCTATTTATTATTTATTTTTCATCGACAGAACGTTGGACAATAGTTGATACTAAACGGTCCCATTTGGTGATTCATGAGGATCATTGACCACAAACTTGTTTTCGCTCCTTTATTTCTGATTCCTGTGTCGCTGAATTAGCATCTCTGTTTGCATTGCACATTGGTAATATTCATGTCCAGCTATGTTTATGATACGTATTCTCTTAGTACTTAGTATTTTCTCTAATTTATGTGAGTGCCAAATCAATTCGGGTAAGTTTCGATCTGCATTTGCCATTTCATACTAAAATAAAAGTCAGTGTACGAAACCCAGCTTATTCGTTTGAATGATAGCTTGATTATATTTTTGATACTGTCTGTAGGTTAATCGAGGAGGTGGTACATTCATTAGTCCAGATTTTTTGGGATTTTCTCTCCTCGTTTCTATGAAATAAAAATATTAATATTATTTCAATATACGTGTACAAAGGACAAATCAGATGATTTGATCCAAAATGTCACTGCGTTTAAAGAATTTACCTATCAGAGAGTCTAAAAGAAAAATTCACCAGCTTGTCAGTGCCAATTTGTATTGAAAAAGGCTTGGAGAAGAGGAATAAAAGTATATAAAAAAAATATCAAATTTTCACTTAGCTTATGACGTCGAAAATCTAAAGAATTGTTAGAAATAACCCTAAGTTTGAACTTTGGCGGCTTCAACAGTTTACCATTTCTTGTATTATAGTCGTCGTGATAATCGCCGGCATGTGACTCGAATGCATTCTTAATTTTGTGAATTCGAATATACAGGGTGGGCCACCAGTAACGCCTCGGTCTCTAGAAGGCTAACCACTTATCTTCTTGGAATTCTTCCTCTCTAGGAAGTTGCATGTCAACATAGGCTACCATTTGAAATTATTTTGAAACATAATATTTCATTTTGAGATTCTCCCTGGTGAGCTGATTTCAACAATCCATCATACTTGGGGTCTAGCAGTTATAATTACTGAGATATAGGGTGTGAGAAATCGAGATTTTCCAAGTTCTAGAATTTTTTGTGTCTAAACCATTCATAATTGGTCAAAACGGCTAACATGTCCCTATCTCAACTTTTGATCAACTATCTACTGACATTAAATTTGAAACAAATACAGGGTGGTGCAGAATTCAAAATCTTGATCACCCGGTATATGTCCCAGTTAAATATCAGTAGATAGTTAATCAAAAGTTGAGATAGGGACATGTAAGCCGTTTTGACCAATTATGAATAGTTTCGACACAAAAAATTCTTGAACTTGGAAAATCTCGATTTTTCACACCCTATATTTCAGTAATTATAACTGCTAGACCCCAAGTATGATGGGTCGTTGAAATCAGCTCATCAGGGAGAATCTCAAAATGAAATAATATATAGGGTGTTCGATAGAAAAAAGTTTAACTTCAGTGTTTTATGGTTTTTGGGGACACCCTGTATGTTTCGAAATAATTTCAAATGGTAGCCTATGTTGACATGCAACTTCCTAGAGAGGAAGAATTCCAAGAAGATAAGTGGTTAGCCTTCTAGAGACCGAGGCGTTACTGGTGGCCCACCCTGTATATGTGGGAGTGGCAAATGTTAATTCAAAATTGATACTGACATTGGATGAACACAAAATGAAGGAATTCTCGATTAAAAAATTACCCGAAACATTTGGAGGAAATAGTATATTATGTAACAAGTATTATAAACGTCATTTTAGTAGCGAGTATTTTAAACACGAGAGCAGCAGGACGAGTGTCTAGAAGAGTTTATGAACGCGTTACATACTATACTTTTTCTACGAACTCCTAAATCATCGACAAGATGATATAATTCTGAAAATTACATTAACCTACCCGCTCATCTACAAAATAATTCGAAGGGAATGGGACTTGAGAACATAATACATAATACTATGCAAGTGCATGCAACCAACATGACACGTATAAGTTATATTCGTTGTAGATGTGCGTCCAGTCCATAAGATACGTACATTTCTGTCGAAAGTACTTGTTTACTGTCCGTTGTGAATAAGATTTCATCTGACGTAGTAGATAAAAACTCTCCGATTCGCTGAGGTAAGTTTTCGATTTCTCAGGGCTGTATATCCATATTCTGGTTACATAATGTTGCTCACATGGATATTGTGTGTTACGTTAATTGTCATGCTCATCATAGGATGAATTGCCCACAAAGATGAGAGCTCCATTTTCACCTAGAGTTCTTGGAAATATGCAAGTACCTACCTAAAACATTCTATTGGATGTCATATTCGTCTACATTTCGCATACAGTTTCAATGGAGAATTCTGATACAAACAGAAATTGTTTGAAAATTCTGATTGCAACGAAATTCGAAAATGACAATTGACAGTTACCAAACTTGACAGGCCGGACAGGACTCGAACGACTGAAGGTGTGTTAAAAAAATCTTTTTGATGATGGTTGCTCATAGATGGAACGTTTGGATCAGCAAATCGATTATGGCAAATTGATGAGCATAAGCAAAACTTCAATATTGACGCTAGAAAAATAATATTGGAAATCAGGAGATTTTCATTTCTGGAAATAGCTAGAAAACGGAAAGTCATATCAGATTTTCTTGGTTTTTCACTCCCGCAACTTTTCTTTCATGTAACCGATTCTGTATCTCTCTTGATTTCCGATATGCCTGTACTGGCTCTCCTTATTTGAATACAGAGTATATCAGTTTCAAATACGATCTCCATATTGAATTCAAAATCACCGAAACTTAATAATATATACGTAGGTAAGAATCTTGTTCGAAATATTCTTTAATGAATGCACGATTTTTTTATAATTTCAGGATATAGGCCCAATCGACTCTCTCACGAAGTTCTCAAGGGACCATATCATTTTCCACGATTAGAACCATTAGCAAAGCCTTCTCCTACAGAATCAGAAGATTACTCTGATGTCAGACTCCTTAAGCTGATAGATTCAGTGAATAAACGGACACATAACCACGTAGATGAACACAAGCATGAATCAACGATTCCTAAAATAATTCCACCATTTCCTGGACCACAGGTTAACAATAACTTCAGCACTACACCCCAGGGTTTCTACTATATGGGCCAATCTAGAGAAACAACTGCCAAGAGCCAGAAAGATAATCTATCAGAACCTGAAATAGCACCATTCACTAGTGCGATCACAAGCTCGCCTTCGTTCAATGGAAGAGTACAATTTCCTATAACAACCAATCATGGTCTACAACCAGAGACGATACCACCCTTGAAATCATCATTTGTTGCACTTGGAGATAATGAAAGTTTCAACGCCTCTCCAAAGTCTCAACTGTCACAGAGATTCGTAGAAACAACTCCTAATAATCGAATGGATGATATTTTTGACTCTCCGGTCCAAAATACTCAAATGGAAGAAGGTTTCAGAGGGATACCGTCAAAAAATCAGGAAATTTTTTTTCCTGAATCTGAAGGAGCTTCTCATCCACAAATCATCACACCGGAACCTCTGTTGATCGATGAATTTGGAGAAACAGGAACCAGAAACCGAAAAGATGACATTTCAGAGTCAAACCTTTCAAAGACTCTTAGTTCAACAACAGAATTGACAGTGCCCAATAGACCAACATTTTCTGGAATATCTGGAGGTGGTTCTCACCCAAAGATCATCAAACCTGGCAAACCGTGGCCAGCTAGACCAGAAGATTACGCAGGGCATACCTCTTCTCCCAAGACTCCTCAGTTGGTAGACAGATTCGAAGGAACAACTGCTGGGAATCGAGAAGACTTTATTCCAGATTCTAGCACATCAAAAACTCCCAGTTCAACCACGAAATCGCCAATATCCAATAGACCATCATTTTCTGGAATTTCTGGAGGTGGTCCTCACGCACAGATCATCAAGCCTGGTAGACCGTGGCCAGCTAGACCAGAAGATTACGCAGGGTATACCTCTTCTCCCAAGACTCCTCAGTTGGTAGACAGATTCGAAGGAACAACTGCTGGGAATCGAGAAGACTTTATTCCAGATTCTAGCACATCAAAAACTCCCAGTTCAACCACGAAATCGCCAATATCCAATAGACCATCATTTTCTGGAATTTCTGGAGGTGGTCCTCACGCACAGATCATCAAGCCTGGTAGACCGTGGCCAGCTAGACCAGAAGATTACGCAGGGTATACCTCTTCTCTCAAGAATCCTCAGTTGGTAGACAGATTCGAAGGAACAACTGTTGGGAATCTTGAAGACCTCATTTCAGATTCAAGGACATCAAAAACTCCTAGTTCAACCACAAAGTTACCAATATCCAATAGACCATCATTTTCTGGAATTTCTGGAGGTGGTCCTCACGCACAGATCATCAAGCCTGGTAGACCGTGGCCAGCAAGACCAGAAGATTACGCAGGGTATACCTCTTCTCCCAAGAATCCTCAGTTGGTAGACAGATTCGAAGGAACAACTGCTGGGAACCGAGAAGACTTCATTCAAGATTGGAGCTCATCAAGAACTTCTAGTTCAACCACAAAGGTACCAATACCCAATAGACCATCATTTTCTGGAATTTCTGGAGGTGGTCCTCACCCACAGATCATCAAGCCTGGCAAACCGTGGCCAGCTAGACCAGAAGATTACGCAGGGTATACCTCTTCTCCCAAGAATCCTCAGTTGGTAGACAGATTCGAAGGAACAACTGCTGGGAACCGAGAAGACTTCATTCAAGATTGGAGCTCATCAAGAACTTCTAGTTCAACCACAAAGGTACCAATACCCAATAGACCATCATTTTCTGGAATTTCTGGAGGTGGTCCTCACCCACAGATCATCAAGCCTGGCAAACCGTGGCCAGTTAGACCAGAAGATTACGCAGGGTATACCTCTCCTCCCAAGAATCCTCAGTTGGTAGACAGATTCGAAGGAACAACTGCTGGGAATCTAGAAGATCTCATTCCAGATTCAAGCACATCAAGAACTTCTAGTTCAACCACAAAGGTACCAATACCCAATAGACCATCATTTTCTGGAATTTCTGGAGGTGGTCCTCACCCACAGATCATCAAGCCTGGCAAACCGTGGCCAGCTAGACCAGAAGATTACGCAGGGTATACCTCTCCTCCCAAGGATCCTCAGTTGGTAGACAGATTCGAAGGAACAACTGCTGGGAATCTAGAAGATCTCATTCCAGATTCAAGCACATCAAGAACTTCTAGTTCAACCACAAAGGTACCAATACCCAATAGACCATCATTTTCTGGAATTTCTGGAGGTGGGCCTTACCCACAGATCATCAAGCCTGGCAAACCGTGGCCAGCTAGACCAGAAGATTACGCAGGGCATACCTCTTCTCCGAAGACTCCTCAGTTGGTAGGCAGATTCGAAGAAACAACTGCTGGGAATCGGGAAGACTTTATTCCAGATTCTAGCACATCAAAAACTCCTAGTTCAACCACGGAATCGCCAATATCCAATAGACCATCATTTTCTGGGATTTCTGGAGGTGGTCCGCACCCTCAGATCATCAAACCTGGCAAACCGTGGCCAGCTAGACCAGAGGATTACGCAGGGTATACCTCTCCTCCCAAGAATCCTCAGTTGGTAGACAGATTCGAAGGAACAACTGCTGGGAATCTAGAAGACCTCATTTCAGATTCGAGGACATCAAAAACTCCTAGTTCAACCACAAAGTTACCAATATCCAATAGACCATCATTTTCTGGAATTTCTGGAGGTGGTCCTCTACCACAGATCATCAAACCTGGCAAACCGTGGCCAGCTAGACCAGAAGATTACGCAGGGTATACCTCTCCTTCCAAGAATCCTCAGTTGATAGACAGATTCGGAGGGACAACTGTTGGGAATCTAGAAGACCTCATTTCAGATTCAAGGACATCAAAAATTCCTAGTTCAACCACAAAGTTACCAATATCCAATAGACCATCATTTTCTGGAATTTCTGGAGGTGGTCCTCACCCACAGATCATCAAGCCTGGCAAACCGTGGCCAGCTAGACCAGAAGATTACGCAGGGTATACCTCTTTTTTCCAGAATCCTCAGTTGGTAGAAAGATCCGAAGGAACAGCTGCTGGGAATCGGGATGACTTCCTTCCAGATCCGAAAACATCGAAAACTCCTAGTTCAACCACAAAGTTACCAATATCCAATAGACCATCATTTTCTGGAATTTCTGGAGGTGCTCCTCACCCACAGATCATCAAACCTGGCGAACCGTGGCCATCAGCTAGACCAAAAGATTACGCAGGGCATTCCTCTTCTTTCCAGAATCCTCAGGTGGTAAACAGAGTCGAAGAAACAACTCCTGGGAACCGAGAAGACTTCATTCAAGATTGGAGCTCATCAAAAACTTCTAATTCAACCACAAAGTTGCTAATATCTAATATACCATAATTTTCTGGAATTCCTGGAGGTTGTCCTCACCCACAGATCATCAAACCTGGTGAACCGTGGCCAGCTAGACCAGAAGATTACACATGGAATACCTCTTCACCCCAGACTCTTCAGTTGGTAGACAGATTCGAAGGAACAGCTGCTGGGAAACTAGAAGACTCCATTTCAGATACAAGCACTCCTAGTGCAACCATAAAGTTGCCAATGTCCAATAGATAATAATTTTCTGGAATTTCTGGAGGTGGTCCTCACGCACAGATCATCAAACCTGACGAACCGTGGCCAGCTAGACCAGAAGATTACGAAGGGTATACCTCTTCTTTCCAGAATCTTCATTTGTTAGACAGATTTGAAGGAACAACTGCTGGGAATCGAGAAGACTTCATTCCAGACTCTAGCACATCAAAAACTCCTAGTTCAACCACAAAATTGCCATTGCCCAATAGACTATCTTTTTCTGGAATATCTGAAGGTGGTCCTCTTCCATAGATCATCAAACCTGGTACACCATTGCCAGATAGACTGAAATTCAATGCAGGTTTCAGTTCTTCTGATCAATTCACTCAGTTGGTAGACATATTCGAAACAACAGCAGCTGTGAATAAAGAAGACCATATTCCAGAATCAAACACCTCAAAAACTTCTAGTCTACACACTACTAAGTTGGTGAAGAGACTGGACGAAACTACTCATTCGAATCAAGGTGACAGTTTTTCAGAATCAAGTGCGCCAAAAGTTCCAAGTTCAACTTCATTGATATTTGCCGAATAGACCATATTTTTCTGATACTCCAGATTATTCTGATACATCAGAAAAGAAGGTTAACTTGAACAGGAACTCACACAGGATCCAGCACATATGTCTAGAATCCTACTCATTTAGATATGATTTAAAGGAACAACAACAACTTGAAATCAAGAAGACGAAGCACATATCAGATGAGTTCATTCTACTGAGCAAATTATTCGGATTTATACAGTAAACTCGACGGATTTTGATTTTGAAAGTTTTATTGCTAATAGTTATCATATACATACAATCAAAAGCTTTGATATTGAAATGATTCAGGAATTGTCTCTATAAAATGGTTCGGTGATAATTATGTAATACGGTTAAAGATACAAATAAAAGTATCGACATTATTCCCTTCCTTTCAAACATGTAACTAGCGCTGCTCTTATCATGTGGTGATGACGAAGTGACTTCCGAACTTGTACCATCTGATGATGTCCTCGTGTTAGGAGAAACTGTGCTAGGCGGTATAGTATCTGATGAAGTTGATGGAACAGTAGAGATACTGCTCTTTGTGTCGATGGTTGAAGAACCATAATTTGATTCTGTTGACATAATTGAAGGTGTCGTTGATGGTGTTGTTGATGGTGTAGTTGATGGTGTCGTTGATAGTGCATCTATCTTGTCTTCTTGTGCAAGGACAGTGGTGCCAAAACCTGTGAAGAAAACTCAGATGGTATTGATATGGCAAACAGCGAGAGATACGAAATATGATAACCTCGAGAACATTTCTGAATCGAATAGGTGTCAGTATAGTACCCATTTCAATAATCTCAAGGTAATCTCTTCAATTTCATTGTATACATGGTGTTCCAGGATTTATGCGCAGGACTTCAGGATCTGATAGCTCGTCCAAAAATATGAAAAAAGTTTTTATTAACACACCCTCTAAAATAACTCATTTTCGAGACACAGGGTAATGAAATCTGAAAGAAGAATTCGTTTTTTGCGAATATCTCTGGAACCGATTATCGCACAGAGAACAGCTGTCGCAAGCATTTTCTACTCATGATAAGCTATGTTTTGTACGGAATTTTGTTTGTTTTTCTCTCCAACTTTTTCGCCACTGGAAAAAGTACAGTTTTGAGCCACCTATTCGAACAGCCATAAGCTCTAAAATTGACCGTTTTTGAGAAAAATCAACTTTTATGTTGAAAGTCATGGTAAATTTTTGTGTAAATGTATCGCTAACACAATAGCTTCGTCAGGTGATATACTAGTACGATGAACTAAACTAACCTTGGCTTGCTTATATATCCTAATTTCCCTACCTGAAGGATTAGTTACCTGTGGACAGGTGTGATAAACCTCCATTTTCGGAAATTAGGCACAATATCTACATTAAAATACGGTGTACCTACTAGATTAACTTGAAAGGGTTGATATCAAATACATATTATTACTTACTAAGAAAACAAATTCAACAGTGGTGAACTATTGAGGTCTGATTAATCGTTGAGTAAAATGTCAGAATTTTTGAGTTTGTTGATTTCTATAATGATTCAAAATGATTGAGATTCATTCCTTTATTTTCTACGTGTAGAATTTCGAAATTATCATCTTCTTCTGATATATGGTTGGCGTATGTTGAATTTGTTATCTTCTTCATAAAAGTCATCTTATGTTCATGAATGCGCTGATTAAACGTACGACCTGTCTGACCGATATATACCTTAGGACAGTATATCAACTGACGAAGGCACTGTGTTACCGAAACATGTCGTGTGTTTGAAAATTTCGTGGAAATCTCATCGTTTGTGAAGTTTTTACATACAGATACAGGGTGATCAGAATTCTGAATCTTGAACCACCCGGATTTGTTCCTATTAAATATCAGTAAATAGTGAATCAAAAGTTGAGATAGGGACATGTGACCTGTTTTGACCGATAATAAATAGTTTCGACACAAAAAATCCTAAAGTTGAGAAATCTCGATTTTGAACTCCCTATACCGGGTGTCAACGAATCTATTAGACAAGTCATAACTTCTAGACCATTAGGTGTATCAAAATGAGATTTGGTATTGGTAAATGGTATGCGAAGATGACAGTTTTCACATATTTTTTACTTTCCGGTCACTTCTGGTTTCACCTGAAATGGGTCCGGTTCTAAATTTTTAAAGAAACACCCTGTATATTGTAACATTTTTGGATTTCTGAGACAATTCTAGATCAGAATGTGACATTTTTCAAATTTTTTATGCCTTCTTGAAATTACATCTAGGTGGCCATGATCGGAAGTAAACTAATCTGAGGTCCTCAGGTGATATCAGAAAATTACAATCTCGAAGTTTCAGTGACAAGTATGATAGATATGAATAAGACAAGTTGGCAAAATCACATTTTTTTGTCTAACTATCATTTTTCAAATGGCGACCATTTTTTGACAAAAGTTTACCTTCTGCTCTTGAAGCTTATGTCACTGTCATAACCTAAGTGAGTGTTTTGTTCTCCCAAGAAGACTTGATCGGAATAACTGCAAAATATTATGCTTCATGCCTATCCTCGGCACACTTGACAAAAGTAAATAAATTATCATGAAGTATTTTCGTCAGTAATATTTAATTTATGTTCTTATTTGTAATCCAATCGCAAATAAATTAGTATCGTTAGATTCGTCAAAATATCCTTTTTTCGGAAAGTGCTTGTCAAAAAATGGACGCCATTTGAAAAATAATAGTTAGACACGAAAATGTAATTTTGCCAACTTGTCTTATTCATATCTATCATACTTGTCACTAAAACTTCGCGATTGTAATTTTCTGATATCACCTGAGGTCCTTAGATTAGTTTACTTCCGATCATGGCCACCTAGATGTAATTTCAGAAGTGACTCCGAAAAAATTAGGTATAGGCATTAAAACATTCGAGAATGTCACATTCTGATATATGTTCCATTTGAAAATTTAGAACCGGAGCCATTTCCGATGAAACAAGAAGTGACCGGAAAGTGAGAAATATGTGAAAACTCTCCTCTTCACATACCATTTACCTATACCAAATCTAATTTTGATACACCTTATGGTCTAGAAGTTATGAATTGTCTAATAGATTCGTTGGCACCCAGGTATATCTCTGTAATCATTTTCGATAGACCCCAAGTGTGATGTATCGATGAAATCAGCTCTTCAGGGAGCATCTAAAAATACGATAAAATACAGGGTGTTCTATTAGAAATATCAATGTTGCTACTACTTTCTACTGGAAGTGGCAACACTATGGATTGTCGGAAATATTTTAAATGAAGAGAGCGAATTCTGAAATATAGGCATGCACATTTCCATGAATTTCTCCCGACCCGACTGATTCTCGATATGAAGATAGTGTAAGCTCGTAGTGACATACCTACCCCGTACAATAAAGCGGTTTCCAAGATTTTCATTGCGAAATTAAGTAAATAAGTAGAAACTTCTGCTTCTATCTATGTTATTTTTGTTTGAACTAGGTATATTTTGTGTGATTTTAGTCATGCAAATGGTTATAATTAAACGATTGGGGAAATTTTGTTTACATGCAACGATATCTGCATACAAGTCTTTATCTTTCTCTATTATTTTGAGCAAACAGTGGTATCATTATTGTACTACACATTCAACTTTAGGAGAAAAAAAAATGTTTTCTGTTGGATTACCAGAAAAGTATAGTGCGACGTTTATTATTTACGTTGTTATTCATTCATTTTCACTTTACATTTCCTGATATCATTCTCAACATTTCAAATGAGAATCATTGTGTTTGATGTGTCACACAGTAAATTTTAAAGCTAATAATATATCTTAATATCTGATTGTGGGCTATTCTGCTATCAATTGTTGAACTTTCATATAGGATTTATAATCACTGTTTAGGAAATAAGTTTTCCGAGAAATGAGATAGTAATTGTCAAAATATTTAACAGGATAGAAATTTTCCTAACAAGTGCGAAAAGGGATACTTTCCCGCACGCGAATGCCGTTGACTCGAACGACGCGAAGCGGAGCTCGGGCAAGCAGTCGAGTGCGGGAAAGACACTTTCCGCATGAATTAGGAACAATATTTTTTCTATAAGCGTAGAAAATTGATTGATTTGTTCAATCAACTATTCCTGCAGATAGGACCAACTATCAATAGTGATTTCTCTATCTTCTAATAATTAGTGATATATCTATCGTGTGTACCGTTCGAAGCATTATGTATGTCAGGTTGTCCTTAGATTAGACGGCTTCATCAATGACTCAAATTGTGAGAAAAAGTTTCAGAAATAGGGATTTTTTTCTAGAGCAACTAGAATAACTCTAGAATTATTCTAGGTTCCTAGTTGGCAAACCCAAGTTTTTGACAGAAGTAATCTTTAAACCTAAAAGCAAATTAAATGCTCATAAACATAAACAACGAACCTTAGAAGGGCCTTTTTTCCTTAGGATGAGATAATCTTTCTTTTTGTAAGGCTTGCCACTGTTTCTCCGAGCTTTAGTGTCTCTGTCGAACATCAGAGGTGTTCATTCTTTTCTTTCTTTGAATTTCCATTGGTATGCTATCACTATACTCAAAGATGGGATATTTTCAATAATTAATTTCAAATTCTGAATTAATGTGTACTTTATAAACCAAAAAAAATATTTGACGAACAAACTTGGGGTTATTTAGCGCCTACTTATCGTTATTCGATATTTTGCTGATTTGTCCCCTTCTATATAAGCATTTGTCAGACATCTTGCTTGATCAATCATTCATAGTTGGGCTCATGATGCAAACCCATGTACAGGACGACAATCTCGACGACACGACAGTTATTTAAAGTCTGAATCTGAATTCAAATTTAAAACGGAAACATTTTTAAACAAATAAAAAAATCTTCTGTGTCCCTTTCAGTTATTTCGTAGATCTGAGTGCTTCAGTTATTATGAGGATTGATGGAATGATATAAAGGTGAGTTTTTTCGAGGTATTTTGACTGAAATTCGAATATTTTACATTGAACATTTCCCTCTTTTTGGTACCATGAAACATTAAAATTGTCAAATGTGGTCTAAAAACTTTTTGTGAGCAAAAATGTCCAGGTTATGAAATTATTTGAATGATTTTAGTGGAAACATTTTGTTTTCCTGTACGCCTCTGTAATAACTTGCCTAGTTTTCGAAATACAATGGTTTCAGAGAGTTTCATAAAAATTATTTTTCTCATCAATTACTCAAAAACCTTTTGTTTTTACT